TTCTCAGGGCTTATAAATGTTTATAATGTGAACGAAGAACAAGCAGGAAGTTTGAAGATGAGACTAATTTTCATACAGCCGCATGCAGCTATGAAGTGCGGGTAAAAGATGACGATATCAAAAATAATGTTGTAAAAGATATGCCTGTATGCTTAGTGGTCATTGCTCTTAATGGAATTATCAAAGAAAAGGTTTAATATGTACAACAAAGAATAAAAACAACAGAGAAAGCTCCAGATCGAACAGCAAAGCATGAAAATGCATCAGAGATTAAGGAAAAAGATTCCAATCATATTAACTCATTTAAAGGAAGATTGAGTCATTACAGGTTAAAACACAGTAGGAAATAAAAAATATGATCCAAAAACTAAAGATTCTGATAACAGAACTGGACATTCCTTGTTTTTTACTTCTATCTAAATATTTCATTTGGTTTTTGTTCAATCCAAATATGTTTGATTACTAAAAGGTCCAACATCAACAATAAAATTGTATTAGATATAAAACATTTAATTAGTTCTCAGTGAAAGTTAAAAAAAATATACTTTCAAACTTTCAATTACTCTTTCTCAAAACCGGTTGATTAGAACATTCCCTGTTATTTGCCTTTAACATTCAAATTGTTGTTAGCATTGTTAGTATTTCCGTACTACGAGTCTGTAGTACATCAAATGGGATATGATCTGAAAGAACTCCAGAACGCTCCGTTTTGGTAAAGCCTGAATATTCCGTATAGCGGACAAGTTCTCAAGCCTAAAAATTACAAATTGGTCTGATATAGTAAAAGAGGATTGTGATTTTTACAGCGGTCGGATCATTTTGAATGATTCTTGTATAACTTCAATGTTATATGAAGGTTTGTCATATATACCAACATATTAATGAATTCCCGTAACGTAACGTAAGAACTCGAGTCTGGCCACAAGTCGCGGAAAAGAGAGAGAAGTTGAGCTTTAGTTATACCCATATTCAAAGGAAACATTTCAAGGTATAGATGACATTCGTTGGGAAAAATTTGCATATATACACGATATTGAAAGCTATACAGGGTGTTTCAGTTTATTGTTGCATAACTTCAAGATTCGATAGAACTTTTAAAATTAATGCATAAAGTCTACATAAACATGGGTCGAAAAATGCCTGGCTTCCGAAATATAGGGTGTTCAAATTTACTTTCTAAAATAGTTTTTTTTAAATATTTCGAACAATATTTGATGTATAACAGTGAAAATTGGTATACAAGGGATTTTTGGTACGACACAACGAACCATGGGCATAGTTTTACTGTAGCCGCTAGAGGGCGCTCTCTACTGTGCCTGCAGTGTATTAAAATGACCGAAAAAAATTTCTTTGTGCAATTTTTTGCTTTTTGAATAAAAAAACTGATTCTTCGCACTTTTCAACATAAAAAAGCTCTCTAGTGGATTTTTGTTATAGTTAGCCGTTTTTGAGATATTTCGATTTTTAGGGTTCGATGCATTTTTAATTATTTATGATAAAATAACGTTAAAAAGTCAGTATCTCGATAATTTTTAGAAGTAGGCTGTGCCTGCAAATATTTTTGAAATTGAAAGCAGAATAAGGTTAAACGTCAATTAGTTGACAGTTAGTTTTGTTGTCCGTTGAAACCTGAAACGTTTTTTTGCAATTGTGAATGCACGAAATTTAGTTTCTTTTACCTGTTTCTTTTTGTAAGTTTTATAAAAATGCCATTTTTATTCTCCAATCAAGAGTTAGCAGATATTCATTTTGTGTATGGCTTTGTAAATGGAAACTCAGCAGAAGCAGCCAGAGAATACGCACGAAGATTTCCAAACAGTGGATTCTTGATAGAACTGATAATAATAGGGAGTTTTTAAGTAACGTTTTATGGACCGATGAGTCATGCTTCACTAGACGTGGAGTGGTAAATTTTCGTAATCAACATATTTGGTCGCATGAAAATCCGCATGCAGTTCAGGAAAGAAATTTTCAGCATTAATTTAGTGTGAACGTGTAGATTGGTATATACCGTAATCGACTATTTGGACCCTACAATTTGCCTGCAAGGTTAAATGCTGTGACCTTCTTGCAATTATTAAAGGCTGAACATGCAAATATGTGGGATGGTGTTATGTTAGATTTAAGAAGATTGGCCTGGTTCCAGCTTGATGGTTGTCCAGCTCATTATTCGAGAATAGTTAGAAACTGGCTGGACGAAAATTATCCAGAAAGATGGATCGGCCGTGGAGGACCAGTCGCCTGGCCGCCTCGATCCCCTGACCTAAATCCATTAGATTTCTTTGTGTGGGGATTTCTAAAAGAAAAGGTGTACCAGACTCCCTTAAGCACAAGAGATATGCTAATAGACAGAATCAGGGATGCATGTGATGAAATAAGGCCTTATTTGAAAAATGCTATACCACGTTCGATCATTCGTAGATGTGAATTGTGTATTGAACAATTGGGTTTACATTTCGAGCAACTAGTTTAGATTTTGTATGTTTGTCCTAACTATCCAATAGCATTTTAATTGTAAATAATTAATTTAATTTGTTAAAAATAATATTGGAAAATTAAACAAATTAATATTCTGTTTTTTGTGTTTATTTGGAGTTAGGAATTATTGCTGTGTTTAAAAACACAATCTAAACGATCATCTTAATTACTTGTAATGCCCAAATCGAAAATGTAAGAAAAATATAATTTTCCTATAAATAATTAAAAATGCATCGAACCTTAAAAATCGAAATATCTCAAAAACGGCTAACTATAGCGAAAACTCACAGGAGACCTTTTTTATGCAGAAAAGTGCGAAGAATCATTTTTTTATTCAAAAAGCAAAAAATTGCAATAAGAAATTTTTTCCGGTCATTTTAATACACTACCGGTACAGTAGAGAGCGCCCTCTAGCGGCTACAGTAAAACTATGCCTATGGTTCGTTTTGTCGTACCAAAAAACCCTTGTATACCAATTTTCACTGTTATGCATCAAATATTGTTCGAAATATTTAAGAAAAACTAGGTAAAAAAGGTAAATTTAAACACCCTGTGTTTCGGAAGCCACGCATTTTTCGACCCATGTTTATATAGGCTTTATGCATTAATTTCAAAAGTTCTATCGAATCTTAAAGTTATACAACAATAAACTGAAACACCCTGTATATTCTTGGCATATCATGCCTAACATCCAATGACAAGTCCTACTTCCGATCAAAATCTTCCTGCTTCAAGGCCCGATGCAAAACGACATGATATGGGTGCATCCTAAAAGTACTTAAAAAAAAGGTAAATTTAAATAAATCCCTATATTTTGATGAACAGTAGAACTTACCTACGGTCCTTCAAAATATTTTGAACAATTGTTCGTGATATGCCCAACTCACTTGTGCTAACATATGTCCCATGTTCTTGTGTTCTTCCAATTCTTTGCCGTTGAAATGTAGGACGAAAACTACCATTGGCTCGTAAGCTCGCCACTAATCGGGGAAAAACTATCACATCGTAAAAACGCCGATTTGGATATCGAAGCCGGTAAACTCTTTTTAGTATATTGCGGAACTCTGAAGACACTCAAAATAAACTGCAAGCATATCATCAGCTTCATCGTTCGTAAAACGCGGTTGGTAAACATAAAAAATGGTCAAAGCAACCCGAAACTATTGACAATTTGAGGATTATTGTTATATTTCGATTTTATTAACTTATTACTATATATTTTATTAATAGTCTTTTTCGTATATACCCATAGTGCAATTTAGCGATATTTTGTAATATTTTCAAAAAGGGTGATTTTACTCTGATGAATAGAAAAGAATTCCAGAAAAAAATTGTTTAAAAAAAATTGAAATGTAAGGGATTTCCGTATAAATCAGACCAATGCATTCATTTTTTTTCTGGGGGGGGGGGATTAATCATTTCTCTCCAAATGCCGAAAACAGCCCTATAGCGGCTACATGTAAAACTAGCAGAACTTCGCATATCATAACTTTTGTAGCCCAAGAATAGCTCTTTTCAACCAGTGCTAAAATCAGCTCAGCTGTTTCGAAGATGCAGGGTGTTTTTTACGGAAACATTTGAATTCCCCCCACCACCTTATTTTTAGAGATACAGCAAAAATTGTCAAACAAGAAGAGTTCACACTATCCCCGACATTAAAGATGAGGTTTTTTTTTTGTTAGGTTAATATAGGAATTGACAGAAACGTCTGATTTTTAGATTCAAGGTTGCAGTAACGCCATTTCAGAAACTTGAAAATTTCTCCCAGGCATTTTTCTTGTCCGTTTTAGTAAGAACTTTTTTGCGGCAAGCCTCTACGATGGATCGGTTCCCAGATACAGTACCACGCATTCTTAATTAGCCACCATGTAGATAACTTCTACTCAATCTACACAATCTACTCAACTCGACCTGTTTTTTGTAAACAAAATGGCAGATACCTGAATCAGGTTAACCCTTCCAGGACCGACGCGTCCACGAAAAAACATGCCTGCTGGACCAGAATTTTTGGATGGTCATATGACCCGGTGACGGCTATATCCGACGAAATCATAAAACAGTATAATTCTTTTTTTATTCTATTAAAGCATACTTAGAAACACAAACAGCAGTAAATAGAACTAAAGAAGGTCAGTCAAAACTAAAATTGAAGCCCTAGAACTAATACCTAAAGACAAAAAAACAAAAATAAGAGCACATCGTATCCAAAAAACTCGAAAGACATTTTACTTCGGAAGTGATTTTCTTCATGATATATTTTGAAGCATGGAGCTGGACACAACCCAACATCGCATTCCTTACACATATATTTGGTTTCTTTTCTTTTATTAGGTTTTTGTTTGCTGTGGGAACATACATAGCATCTCCTGTAGGCCGATTTGCTGCCTTCCTTGACTGTAACCAGATCGGGAAAATGTCTTTGTGAGAGTCTTTTATTTCCAAGATCCAGGTGAACAGATCTCGAAGCTGTTTTTTGAAACCTGCAAAAATCGAAATATAGAACTATTTTTAGACAAAAAGAAATATATATATATATATATATATAATTTCATGCTTTTGCGCGTTGAATCAATGCTGCTGATCATCATATCACTTCGGTCGACAGCTCCCATTTGCTTGTTATATTCCAAGACACATAATGGCTTCTGAAGGTTTTCATTTGTGACCCTATCCTTCCTTGGAAGACTGACCATTTTATTCTCATGTAGTGTAGTCAGCATAGTGACATCTCGCCGATCTTTCCATTTAACCACCTACATGTTTTCACTGCTTCTCCAATCACATTCACCCCTCTTAAGTTTTTTGTCTAAAATTGGCATTTCTTTCCTATTTTGTTTCACGGTCCCACATGAATTGGTTTTATTTTAAAATAGAAATGTTGACAAAGTTGGACTGGTATAAAAGTTGTCAGTAAAAAGAGAATGACCCTTGTTCATGTATGGTTGTAATAGATTACTGACAATTTCACCTGTAGCACCCAATCCACGAGTATCTTCTTGTGTGCCTTTGCCTACGTACACTATAAAATCCAAGACGATGCCAGTCTCACAATCACACAAGACTTACAGTTTGATTCCGAACCTATGTCTTTTTGTTTTGATGTATTGACGAAAACTGAGGCGATCTTTGAAAAGGACCATACTTTCGTCAATAACCAAATGTTCGAAAGGATAAAACTGAGATTTTGAAATTCTCTTTTAGAACGGTCAAAATATTTCCAAACTTCCCCAGATTGTGAGGCTTTACCTCCTCATTATTAGCGAAATGAAGATAGCGATGTATCTCGCAATATCTGTTTCTTGACATAGTCTGTCCAAAAACGGGAGTGCTGAGTAAGATATCTTGGGTCCAGTACTCTTTGATATTCAGTTTCTTTACACGTGTCATAAGCAGAGTTACAGCGAAAAATTCGTAAAGTTCTGGAATGGCAACGCTTTTCCACTTAGGTGCATCTCTTTGAATGGCATACCTATTTGTTTCGATGGCAATGACGTTCATAATATTTTCAGATAAAAGACTCAAAAAGAAATCTACTTCACTGCTTTGATCATTAAAACTAACATTTCTTAATCCGCTATTAGTACTATCAAATGCAAAAACTTGCGGAATAAACTCTTTGTCCGTCCATTTTATTTCTAACCTCGTACGTTCTCTAATAATATCCATTCTCTCGTCCATTGCTGTCTCAGGTTCCAAGACCGGCGTTTGAGATGAATCATGCTTGTTGTCTTCACCTTCAGACACTTGCAAGTAGTCGTCCTCTGAAGATTCACCTTCCGAGCTGGAAATAAACTCGCTTCCACTGTCAGCAAAGGGATCTTCGGGCTCATCCTCATCGGAGCTCATAAGATATTGTGAATGATTTCGGACTTCCTCCGGGGTCAGCCCACAATAGCCCGCACCTGCATTATCTCTTTTACGCTTATTTCGTCCTTTTCGACCGTCAGATGTACTGGGTTCAGCGTTATCCATCTCGCACAATGAACAGAACAACACAAGAGTCAAACACAAACTAACTATGTCTAGAATGTCCCAATAACAACACGAAACTGTTTCAAACCAGTCATAATAAGTTGATTTGCCTGCTCCACGTGTTCGACGCCGAACTCCCCCGAGCGTCCACCGTCGCCCATGTTCGACAGTGTCGGATTCTCAAGCCATTGGTCTGTGGGGAAATGCAGTGCTGAGCGGATTTAGCCGACACTGGTCCCTGTGAGAAGTTTAATTTTTAAAGGTGGTCGTAAATGATCGACATTGGTTTTACCAGTTTGTTTCACCCCTGTCGTATACAGCCGACACTGGACCAAGGGACAAGTTTCTTCCTGTCGGAACTTGCCGTCAGCGGTACCGAAAGGGTTAAGAAAGACATCAGAATAACCTGCTATTTTTTCTGTGGATTATGAAGGACGTGTGTGTTTGGACCGGCACGCTCATGCTTCCACTAGACGAACGCACTCATAAAATCAAACCAGGAGCACCAATACGCTGAAGCCTTTATTTTCGCCTATTCCATAAATTTGAGCATCATCAGTTCACTGGCGCGGCGTACGAAAGAAGGAAAAAGGGGGAACTCAATTATAGAGAAAACCATATCTGTCGTCGTTCCGTTTATATCTGTGTTCGTAAAGAAATCCCTTTAGTTACAACGTAGGAGGGACGGAATCGAATCTCTCGCTAACAGCCATCCAGATGAATTTTTTTACTGCCGCGATTGCAGATTACGCTAACCCGCCCGGATCTATCTACTTTATTCAAGAAAATATACCTACAGGGTGTCCCAGAAATAATACGCGAGATCGGCTACAGATCAACCAGATAAAATCAACATGACCTTAGTAAAATTTTTCCAGCTTTTTTGCCACTTTTAAGCTTTTTCCCTACTTGTTACTCTTTTGTTGCCTGTTGTGGCTATAAAGAATTTCTAACTTAGTGTTTTGCTTCTGGGCTACCATTATTAGTTAGTTGAGACAACCGAGTATTCATTTCATTAAAAACTTGCATGGTATGCTAAAAGAAATTATTGCATTTTGTTTCGTTGTGAAAACCGTTACTAAAATCTGACTAATTACTGTGAGAAAAAATCTATCAGACTGAATCGGCAAACGATCTTATTAACTCAAATAATTTAGATCCTTTGCAAAATCATCTACCTATTCTTTTGGAAAATGTGCGTCTTGAGACAGGAAGAAGGATGTGGTTACAGAATGATGAGTGCCCTGTTCACTATGCTAGTGCATTAAGGGGCTATCTTGATGAAGCATTCCCTAGAAGAGGCTAGAACCAATTTTTTGGCCGCCACGCTCCCCAGACCTGAACCCTCTGGATTTATTTTACTAGGGATGTTTAAAAGATAAGGTCTATAGGAGACCAGTTCGATTAGCCGATGAACTACGTCATATAATCTGTCAAGCAGCAGGCAAAATATCCGATTCAACCTTGAGACGTTTAAAAGGACAATTTTTAAAAAGATGCAGGTTGCGTATAGGATACGGTGGTAGACATTTTTGAAATCTGTTGTGGAATAATAATAATAATAATAATATTATTTATTCACGCAATGTACAAAGATAACAAACAATATGAGTAAATAAATATAAAATCAAAACAGGCCCAATAGAAGACATCGCCTGTACATGGACCAATAATTTTAAGTTGCACTTGTAGAATGCAAATGACAAAAAAGGACAAAAGTTAGCTACAGTAGATTATGTATTTACTTGATGTTCGTATTTATGCGTTTATGAATTTCAGTCCTAGATATAGAATGTAGCCACTTTTAAATTTTTTCTGAAACAATTTCCGAAACGTAAATCTTTTAAGCCTTTAGGTATAATTTCATAAAATGTCGGCGCTAAACAGAGATATGATCGTTGCATTATAGATTTATGCGGCTGAGGAACTACTGTGCCACGAATCTTGTACCTTGTATAATGATTATGTTTAATTTTTTGGTCGGTGTTTACAAATTTAGGGTAGCGAGTGATACTGTGTAAGAAATAAAGCTGTCTTATATCATACATTCGAACATCTGCGTATAATTTGTCAGTGGGATAAAGTTTCGGTTTATAAAATCTCATTTTTAGAATACCTTTTTGAAAACATCTAAATTATAGATATGTGAGGAACATGCAGCTTCCCATGCTAATATACCATATGTGAGATGAGGCTCAATCAGTGCATGGTATAATGCTCGAAGATATTTTTCTGTCAATATATTCCCAAGGTATTTAATTTTGTAGGATACAAATCTAACATTCTTTAAAATATAATTGACATGGATGTCCCATTGTAAGTGAGGATCCAAGACCACTCCAAGGTATTTTATGTTGGGCACTCTGTTAATTTGCATTTTTTGATCACTAATGTTGAAGGAGACATTTTTGTAATTTGGCAGATGTCTAGCATAAGATCCAAATGGTACAAAAAGGTGTTAATTTTCTGCTGCTAAACCACCGAATAATTTTGATAAAATCATTTTCAATTACATTTTTCAGATCAGACCAGCCAGTACCTTCATATTATACTGAAGTATCATCTGCAAAGCTGGTTATTTTGCCAACACAATTAATTTGGAAAATATCGTTTAAATATATATTGAATATCACCGGACCTAAGATAGTTCCTTGTGGGACACCACACTTAATATACATTTCTTTACTAAACGATCCTGATTGTGGGCGATTTGACAAATAATTTTCGATCAGTGAGTACGCGTTTCCTCTGAAACCAATTCTCTCCAATGCTTCTAATAATAATTTGTGATTAACTGTGTCGAAAGCTTTCTTTAAATCAACAAAAATGCAGATAAAGGGATTGTGTTATCAATATTTTGATGTACTTGATTTACAATTTCAGTTATTGCGTCCGATGTAGCCTTCCCTTCTGTAAATCCATATTGATTTTCACTCAAAATTTTGAATTTTGTGAGGTATCGAATCATTCTAGTAGATAAAACTTTTTCAAAAACCTTTGCTACACTGATAATAATAATCATTCATTCCAAGCACTATTTACATTAGCAGATGTTTATTTAATTTTCATTTAGTTAATTTAAGATGTTGATAATAACTCCTAATTCTTTATTTTATTTGAATGATGTCAAATCAATGCGAATAAAAAATAGTACAACCTAATTTTCTGTACGTTATATTATTTTGATGCCTGGATACAAAAATGAATAGAAACGGATAACGGATTCCTGCTTTATATATTTACCGAAATAAAAAGCTATTACACTATAACTACAGAATTGTAATTTAGACACAAAAGACATATACACTTATTATTTTTTATTTGTAATATTTAGAAAGTATTACGGCTTCAATGTTTAATAAATATAACCTACAAATTTTATACTATTTTTGAAAGAGCTTCAAATAGATAATTTTTAAGCTTACTAGCTGATTCTGTCTGGCACATTTTTTTTCGAATTGAAACCAAATGTAATAATTCATTTCAATACCATACCGTGCTAGTTTCCAATGAAATGAATAATCGGTTATCGCAGTCGACTATTAACTATATCCCAGCAAAAAAAAATAAAGTTAGAAGATTTTTATAGCTGTAACAGGCAAAAAAACTTAAAAGTGGCTATACCTCTAAAACTAGAGAACCTTTACTAATATCATGTTGATGTTATCTGATTGATCTGAAGCCAATTTACATCTAGTATCATTCTGGCGTGTTATTTCGGGGACACCCTGTATAGTGTTAGGCTATACCTTGCTTCGACGACACAGTAACGGCCTATTGATGTCCTTAGACATCCTTCAAGGGTAAATTGTTGGTAATACATAACCGTAACATCCTTTGTTCGACTATTTGAACCTGACACCATCACCACCAAAATATCGTTGTGCCTTATTCCAGCTTCTTTGCTTCACATGTCACAGGTTGAGAAAGAAAACTGGAATTTAATAATTATCTTGACTCAAGAGTTAAGTTTAAGCGCCTCTTAAAAAAGACTACAAGCAATATTGTTGGTCACTGCGAAGATATTTTTTTATAGTAACTGTCAGAACACAGGGGTACTCCTTCTGCATCAATGTGCCAAACCTTTTTATATAAAGAAAAGGGAAATGGTGGTCTGTTTTCTCCTTCCTTTTTTTGTAACTAATTAATATATTGATAGAACCTTTATGAAAGTGGTAAGGAAATGCAAAACAGCTTTCTAGTGGCGGGCAAATTTAAGCACTACCTCAATAAAGCGTAAAGTAGGGGGGTTAAGAGCGCCAGTGACGGATTAAGCCACAAATCTCCGAGACGTTAGTCGGCACTTGTTTTGCTTTACCACCAGCACAAAAGAAAATATTCTAATAGCAATGACGTTCACTGATAATTCTACAGAGAGCCAAATAAAACGCAAGATATTTAAAACAATCACAATACATTAACTGATTGAATAACACATATGCTCCACCGCTAGTGAGCAAGTCAAAACGAGATACTAACTAGCCCTGCAAAACGTTTCCTATGGTATACGAACGAAGCCTTTGCAAATGTTTTGGTGACTAAACCTAAACTTATCTGGTTATTTGTCTTTTTCCAGTCACGGCTCCAGGAGCCACCGGGATATCCTCAGCTCACAAAAGCTCAGGTTAAACCAGTGGCCAGCAGTGGACAGTGATGTAAGAAACATCACAAGGTAGAGGCTGCTTGCCTCGTATTCAAAATTTACGGTGTAAAAAACCCTAGATATATGTAGACTGCCTAAAAATCTACTCCCTTTGTGAGACAAAACGACTCATTAAAACACTCGAATTTTGAAAACCACGTAAGAAGTAAAGCAAAAGCAAAAATACAGAAAATGTATTAAAGTCATACACCCTCAAAAAGCTATCCCTTGCTCTAAAAAAGGCTGCCCTACATTTGACCACAAAAAACGCCAAACAAAATCAAGTACACTCTAAGAATTTCAGTCAACAATAATCAATATACAGGGTGGCGCATCGAAAACGAAACAGACGCATTTACTGGCAGCTCAGTTTTTTTTTGAGAAACGCTTAGACCCGTCGACTTTCGAGGGGGACACAAGTTTGGCAAAAAATCACGTTAGCACGTGTAGCCTCCTAAGCGGGGGTGACACCACCCCCAAAAGTTATACCTTATTTTGAAGTTCAGTAGTTTTGCAGATTTATTGATTTAAAGCTTAAATAAAACTAATACATCATCATTAGTGGAGATGAATACACTTGGCAGCGAAGTAACTTA